TACGAGATCGTCATGTGATCAATCGTGCAAATCAGACAAGTATAGGCATTAGTAGGACCAGCAAACTTTCAACATTACATGGACATTTGACTGTAAAAAAAATTTCGATCACGTTGAATCTCTCACAATTTATAAACCGCTCCACAAAAAAAGCTCGTGTCGAGTGATCGAAAGAAATGTTAAAAAATACGATAGCGGTGCTTCGAAACATGCCTATGACATTCGGAAAGGTGATGATAGGGGATTTACGCGTATAAGAAACAACAATCGACTGTATGTATGTTTACAGATTCTTATGGAGCCGCAATATGGTGGGAAACATCGATTCGGATAGCCGAAAGCTCCTCTCAATGTCATACAGCCGTTGCTTTCAAGTTATGAAGAATGCTCATTACTGCGGCATAATTGGATTTCCGATAATGATATGGAAAGGGACGGATATCTATGGAGCAGGAGGCTTCTAGAAGGTAGGATCAGATTAAACAGCCGAGTGACCTACAATTACATCCCGGACGTTAGGTTTTTAATGTAACCCAGACTTCAGATTCTGTCTGAGGCATCTGAGGCACCCTTCTGATAGGTCGAAGTGTTTGTGTGGAGCGCTTAACGAGAATTGGGTGCATGTTATTGCATAATGCGCGACGTACTCGGACATTAGGGATCTGGGAGGTATGGGGATTAGCTGAACCTATGAACGTTTGGATGTTAGCAACGTGATCTCCACTAGTTGGAATGCCGAACAGTTATGATCGTTTGCGCGTGAATTATTTAGGCGGCGAAGGCGTTTAACTGGAAATTAGGATAACTTCTCTTGAAAATGGTGTGTGTGTTTAATGTACAGATGGGGGCTAACTCCTGGTCACCAGTACAGAGCAGTATGGAAACTCAAATTAGTCGTTTTGTCTACGAGGTCTAACCGGAAGTTTAATTCTGGCACCACGGGGAACAGGAGCCCTTGGAGTTCTCTCCAACCTGTTCATGCGCACTGAGCCTTCGGAAAGTATCGTGATGATTGTGGTCAGTTAAATGTGGAGTTATATTGTAACCGGGTACCAGACCGAGAGTATAACAGAGGCTTTTGATGAGCCTTGACTAAGTGGTCAACGTTTTTCGACAGCTAAAGAGGCGGTTATTGCGCTCGGAACGTTTGTTTTTGAGAAACAATATTGTGAAAAACAATTGTTATCGGTTATTTAATTACTTTTTATATTTGGCAAATATAAAAAACATTTACATAAAACTTCCAGCTGTCTAGTGTAACCGATCGACCGGATAATGACTTCGATTTGAACTTTCTGCCAACCTGCTCCCGAACGCTTACAGAGAACTTACAAAAATTATTACGAGTTTTAAAGAATAATATAATAAGTGCCTTCAGATAGAAACAAAGCCAAATAGTTTTCTTTTTTTTTTTGTAATTTCTCATTTGTTCGAAATGACAAAACATCATGGAAGATACATTATATGTACCATTGTCACAAATTTTTTCCAAAAATATAGAAATTTCTTAATACTCCCAGGTCTTTCAGAATGGAAAGCACATAAGGATAAACACCTAGTTAAACAATAAATGAGATGAAAAAAAGCAAAATAAAGTACGAAATATAAAGAAATTATATTATCAGCAATTGATATTACTTTATTCTTCCAGAGCTATGCCTTAAAGTGCGCTTCCAAGTTAGCGGACCATTTAAGCAACTGCTGAAATGAAACGCTTATTGACTTTAAATCAACMCAGCGCTTATGAAATAGGTATAATTGCTTAATTGTGATAAACGAGTAATTAATTTTCCATAAAATAAAGGAGCACGTAATTTTAGCCACGTACTCTTAAACGTACCAGCATATACATACATACATAAATGAAAACCTTTACGTACAAACTCATACTAAGCGTACGTGCTCTTGCTCTCTTCCTCACCTACATACTTACGCACGTACTTATGGAGGATACATACTTTAATAATATTTTTGCATGCACGGAGCCATCCGCTATGCTCCGCATTAATGTCCGTCGGTTCATGTCTTAGTTAGTTAGGATTATATTAAGATTAGTTGGCAACAGGTGAACCCACATGCTTTTGTGTGTGTGTGCACGCTTCAATGTGGATTTCTTTTTATATGTGCCAAGGTTAGAGTATTGTCTAATGGTGCCAGCGCCGACTTTAAGAAAATGATTACTGATTTTTTAGATATAAAGATTCTCAGAGTGCAAGCAATAAATTTGAAATAGAATTAAAGTAAAGTTTGCTGTATTTTCAGAGCTTTTTCGCATTAAAATCGGACGTAATCGGAAGGACTAAAAAAAGTTGGGCTTTTCTATGAGAGAGAATCACTTAAATTTAAAAAATGCTCTTTAAATATTCTACTTCTGAGACATGTTTTCCAAAGGACCTAGTAATCCCGCCTTTTTCCATGGGCCTCGAGTTTCATATTTTTTATTAAGACTATTTATTAACTCGCCCCAAAAATGAGCCCAAGCCGGAAAATTCGCTGATAGCACTCAAAACAATCCCAGCCAAGACTTATAAAAAGTATATGGAAAATTGCAAAGATGTTTATTAAAATAAGTCATTTCTGGTCAAATTAGGTAAGATAGTAAATTTGAGTTTTTTGACGCAATATATATGAACTCGCTATTGTAAAAAAACTCAATAAATTGAATCACATTTCTATCAAAATGGCCTGCCGAACTGATTTCTTATATGAAAACTGGCAGTATATATACTATATGTATCGATATACATAGATAATAATTTATATGCATCTCCACCTCATATATCTGCAAGCTCATGAGCTATTTCTGGCAATTTACATTATATTTTTCAAATCTAATTGAAAAATTAACTATTAATGATAGCAGAGAAATCAAAATGCTTAAATATATACCCTAAATGAGTACCAATAAATACAACAAATTATAGCAAACAAAGAAAATGGAGAACGGAGTGAGTCCTTTTAAAGGATGAAAGGTGAAATGAAAAATTTAAATGCTGAGCAATTGCTGAAATTCACTGAACCAAGCGGAAAATACCAATACAAACAAAACCGCACACGCACTTTAAACACTTAAAAAAATGGCGGCATACTGAAGAGGGTAGAAGTTCAAATTGTCAGCGTGTAATTCACAACTTGCGGGCTTCCTACTAACCTATATATAAACGAAAATATAAACAAACGCCCACACATATGCGGTCACATGGTAAACATGCATTCGTAAATACGTAGACATTGTAATACCTACACATATACATATACCAGCATGTATGTATGAATAATTGAATATATACATTGAATATATACATATAAACAGTTTTAAGCAAACATACACATACATGCATGGCATTTGGATATACGTATACCGATTCTCATTGAGTCATTAAAAAGTTGCAGAAAGTTATCCCAAAACAATTTGAGCGAGGAGAAGAGGCTCAGCGCCATTTTCTTTACATACTCGCTATTTTTTGGGAGGCAACGCACAGAGTTGCAGGCTAGCCAGCTGCCGACGACGGCGTGAGACCACCTGCTAGCACATTTCTAATTAAGCTCCCGAAGGTAAACGATATTATTTGAAAGCCAGTTGAGCAATTTTGCAATGGCAGGCTGCTGTAACGTCAGAGCGAAGCGGATACTGAGTAGCATAAGAGAGTGAGAGCGTGAAATAAACGTACGTACGTTWAGTTACAACTCTAAATACAGCAATGGGCGCTGTAATGGAAACGAGTTTGAAGAAATGTTGACTTAGTTGTACATTTTTGGATTTCTTAATATTTAATAATTTTAATATATAATAAAAAATAATAAATAATAAATAATTTTCTAATAAACCAAGTAATGCAACAAAGGAAGGTATTTCATGGTTTTCAAGTGAACTAAAGCCACAGAAAATTTCAAGTATGTGTTTTATAATATTTTGATGTGGTCCTACTTCCTATATTACCATACCGAAAATATTGAATTTTAGTAATAAAAGGTATTTTATCATCGCAAGATAATTTTTTTAATATTATAGTGCATTTCTAGTACCTCGAAAGCTTCCACGCAATTTTTGAAACTAAAAAATATATGGCTTCATTTCAATTTCGATTTGTTAAAATTAATTTTGACTTCTGATCTTAAATTTGAGAGTTCTTATGTTACTCGAAAAATGTAGTGTCCTCTCTTTATAAAAAAAATTTGTCATATCAAAAATTAACCTTTTCCTTAGAGAGACCAAGTCTGTTAATAGCAAGTGTTTTTATTTTCAGGCATTATCCTTTTTTATAAGCTTCAAATTTGAACGATGGCTTCCCGGAGCAGCTAAAGCATTACTATGTTTATCTAAGAAACTACTCTACATTAGAGATTCGTTAAAGAAGCATTAAAGTAAAGTTTGAAAGTAATGTGAATTTGGCAACCGATAACCCCAAACTTAAACATGAATATGAAACATTTATTAATTTTGTAAAAAACTCTAAATTTTCAAAAACAACCATTCACGGAATATACTTCTCCAAATGCCATACATGACTCCAAGAACTCTCCATAGTGAGTCAACAACCACTATGAACTTGGAAAAGCCGCAAAATTCAATTTGTCGTTCTATATTACGACACACCGCTGTATATATTGTCATACATATATAGACGAAAATGGGGATTCGCTTGCGTGGGCGTATGTATACAGAACGTCATCAAGTAAAATAACAAAAATAACAACAATGAGATTTACACACAAAAAAGGGAATAGCTCGTAGCAACAATGTCTGTCGTATGCGTGAAAAGGTAAATTGAGCACTATCAAAATTTAAATAAATTGTATTAAAATGTATGCAGAAATAATTTTATTGAAAATGATTTTCATTTTCTGAAAACTTTAAAATTTTCTAAAAAGTTTCATCTTTAAAAAATTTTTTAAAATAATTTTCGAAAAAAAATTTTTTGGTGAAGGAAAACGATATTTTCGTTCAACATTTTACTTAAAATAATAAAACACATATCTTTTTTATGCAAAAAACTCACCTGCACTACTACCATGAGCCATTTTGATGCCAACTGTTTGCTTTAACTCCTTCAATAAAAGTATTAATTCAGCGCTATACTAAACACAACACAATAGCGCTGGAAATGTTTACGTTTCAAGGCAACAAACGCATTAATGCTTAAATTAATTTTGCCAAAAAATTACACGAATCTGTATTTTTGCATAGAACTCTTCACAACTCGTTTAAACGCGTTTTATACGAAAGAAATTATCGCCAAATAAGCGCTTATCATTCACCAAATTGTAGTTCCAGTCAAATAATTTACATACACATACAAACACCCGTATGTGGCTTGTTACAATTTTATAGAGGCAGCCACTATGAAAAGCCTAGTACTAGCCATAATACGCGCTTTTAGGAGAGAAGACACGTCCGCACACAGAAAACTCAAAAGAAAAACTGCCAGTAAAGGTCCGCATATGCGAAGTTAAGAGCTCGTTAAAGTCAGGCTAACGAGCAAAATGCACTCTTGTCCCCACCACACCAAGCCATGCGGCATGTCAAGTTTCGGCAACTGGTTCAGCAACCCACCCCCTCGGCAATGATGTTGTACTGAGCAGCACTAAACGATATTGCTTGGCGATATGAAACTGTTGCTCTCGCATTAACATACCGTCAACAAAGAGTTGTAGCGCACATAGCGACACAGAGAAGTTTTGAGGCTGCAAACTAGTTTATTTTGCAACTAGTGCTGGTCCTTTTTATAATGCTAAAGAAATTATATTTTCAAAAGTTTAGTGACCACAAATAAACACAGCTCAAGAATAGCAACAAATTTATTTTTAATTAAAAAATTTCACACCTCATATTTAAGCAGCGCTGAATAACCTCGGAAATCAACTGGGCATGATTGATATATTATAATTTTTATACTAGAAGGAAATTCTTTTAAATTTATTCCTTTATACTTATAAAAATATTTGCTGTCAACTCACCGTATATTTTTCTCCGTCCTTCCTTCATATACCACCAATACTCATCAAAACCTTAAATTGCCAGCTTTACTTTCTCTTTCAAACACCCAGCGCTCTTGTGCTCTCTCTGTTACAAAGCAAATTGTTGCTTGTGCGTACATTTAAGCTACCAGATTGTCACTTTCATTTGGGTAGGTTATGTGTTTTTGTGGTTCATGGCGCTTGTTTACTTTCCCAAGTAAAACAAATAAAAACTCAATCGCTCTTTTAAACATACATAATTTTGAACATTTCAACAACTCACTCAGCTCTCTTATGCTAGAGCGAGTTCTTCACTCACTCAACGAGCCAAGCACTCATATCAGCTGATTGTTTATTACTCAGTGCTCACATTAGTGCCTACTGAGACACTCATAGTGGAAATATGTATGTAGGTGAGAGTTCCTGGAGTTTGATTAATTGCTAGTAATTTTGAGTCTGTTAAATTCATGCAATTTAAAAAGATTTTCAGGACTGAAGAAATTTTTATATAATTCTACAACCAATTCATAATTTTTATGCTCCACTCACTAAACTTAAACTTAAATGCAATTAAAAGCGAAACGAACTGATATATCGGGTGTGTAAAGTAAAATGTATTAATATCTCAGAAACAGTTTAACGGCCGATTCCCTGCGAATTAGTTCAGCACCTGGAGCATCAGGAGATAATTTTTTTACTGTTAAGTAAATATTTCAATTCTTTTTTGCGTTACAGGCTTCTAAAGTGTAGTTGGCCAATACCAAGGGCTGTATTACTTTTCTTTAAACGAGTTTTTTTCCGAAACAGAATTTTCCAAATAATTTATAATAGCCTAACAGTATTTTGATCTAACAAAAAGCGATATTTGCAAACCAAAATTTCCAAATTTTAGGTAAAATTAAAATTTTTTAATGGCGTGTTGTGATCAATTTTTACTTTTTTCAACTGCAATTCATTGTATGACAATAAGCTCTAATAGAGTATATTTGTGGTGTTACCTAAAAAGAAGGCTTTAATTATTTAAACAGTGGAGTGCGAAAATTATTAAATTTTTGTCTTCAACTTCTTAATCATGCAGCTGCAATTAAGCTCAAATACAAAAGTGCGTCAGAACGAATGAGTAACATTTTTCATCATTTAAAGCATCTTCAACTTCCTAAATATCCATTTCGACATTTCTAAGTCATTCTGAAGCATTTTCAACTTCCTTAATAACAATTTTAACGTTTCTAAATCATTTTACCAAGTCAATGGCTGCAATTAAATTCAAATACAATAGTGCGCCAGGACGTATGAGTAACATTTTTCATCAATTAAAGCGTACAAAAGTTTACCCACAGCCATCAACAGCTTTAAAATTAATAACCAGAAAACAACAACAAGTTTATAAATGACTGCTATATACTCACCCCTCATATACTCATAAGCATATATAATATATTGGAAATTAATAATAATAAAACGCAATGCTTGTACTTTCAATATAAACATGTATGTATACATATAATCTCATTCACTACTTTGTAATAATATAATATATAATGTATGTGTTTGTATATAATTTCACTAGATATTTCTATATGGTATCTTTATACTTTTATATTCATAATTCGTATATAAATAATATATGTATGTATGTATGTATGAAGTTTTACAATTTGCTTAATATCCTTCTGCTTATTTTGTGAATATTATATATATTCTTACTTTTTTCTACATACGCTACTTGTGTATTACCATATGACTATATGGATATATGCTTGTATGTATGTACTATAAGCAATTTCGCTATACATATACATTTGTAACTGTAAATAATGTTTGCTTTGTAATAATGTTTACTTTGCTTGCTGTTTATTATACTTTAAATGCCATTAAATATTACATATTAAAAAAATAATTTATTATATTTTAAATGTCATTAAAAGATATTGTAGTCTAATTTAAAAGAATGTAATAGGATTAAACAAGTTATAATAAAAGAGGGAAAAGTAAAAAAAAAATCCTAAAATCTTTTTATGCATAAATTAATATAAATAACGAGTTTTTTTTATAAATTAATAATAATTTTATATTTTTATAAAATAGTGATAAGCTGAATAACATTTAATTTAACAAATTTGTAAAAAAAAATTATGCGGACGCATACTCGTTGAAGTTAATATGCTTTAGAATACTTGGAAACCTTTCTCACTCTCTCTCTCTCTCTCTCCTTACTGCCTATCTGCCCAGCAGGAAATTATGTGTTAAACTAATATTATAAACACAATATCTTAATATAATGATCACAAGTTATAAAAATTTAAAATAATAATACTGAGCGGTTTAAAAAGAAAAACAACATAATTTAATCAAGTTTTGGTTTTCGACATTTTTGTTAAACAATATTTGCAACTTCGTTGTTTCATATAATTAACTGATTCCTTAGAGAATTGAAAAATATTTAAATAACAAAATTGTATACTTATTTTGCCACATACAGTGGTGGGTAAAAACTCAGAATGCATATGTAATTTTTTAAAATTCCACTTATACATGTATTCAGAACTTTTAGTTAAAAAACATACAAATAGTGCTTAAAAATATTAGTAAAAAAATTTTAGAATTTAAAAACTGGCATTGATATAAAAATTAATGCACAACTTTAACATTTCACAGTTTTCTTGATATACTGGGTATACCTGCCTAAAATTTTAATATAAATACATAAATATGTTGTCTTTTCTTAAGTAAAACCTTTAAACTTTCTGAATAATGTGCCAAAGTTGTTAAAATGCATTAAGAAACCGATATTTAAAAAAAAATTGCAGCATACCTTTAGGTGCACAAGCGCTTGAACTGCTATTTTGGTTATAAATAATGGCCAAATATTAAAAAAAAAATTAAAAAATCTAAATGTGTGGAAATAGTGATATTACCACACATTTTTTTGGAGCAAAACCGATTCAATGATTTAAAAAATTTAGCTTGCAATATTTTCTTGTTTATGTGTTTAATTTTACCGTAAAAATTTTCAGGACCACGTAACAAAATCCGTTAGGCGCAAAAGCACTTGAACTTTTGTTTTGATTATAAATTAATTATTATTCAAAGAAAATGTCAAAAAATCTAAAGTCATATTTTAAATAAAGCGATATTTTTAAAATTTTACAACATATTTTGAGGCGCAAAACCACTTGAATGATTATATAAGTTTAACGTTGCATAATGTTGTTGTTCTTTTGTTAAATTTTGTAGTATAAATATGCTAGACAACGTATTAAAAAACTAAATAATTTAAAAGTTATATTTTCAAAAAATTACAGCATATCTTTAGGCGCAAAAGCACTTGAATTGCTGTTTTGAGTTAAAAAATTATCATCTTTAGGGTTTCACTCGGTTTTCTTGCAGTGGATTAAGTCATATCTGCACAATAGACGATGCGTTGTTAGTGTCGATGGAGTGTCATCTGATACATTCATTGCGTCTTCAGGAGTACCACAAGGAAGCGTCTTGGGTCCACTTCTCTTTGTGCTGTTTATCAATGACATTTCCTGTTGTTTCTCTTT